ACTGACATAAAGTTCCCCCTTTGGCTCCAATGTATGTTTGAATACAATTTATTTACCATTTCGTTGGACGTCTCGAAAAACGACTCGAAAGGTGTGTCCGAATTCACTACCATTCCCTTTATGTTAGTGAGTTGTGGTTCACCCGGGTATCCCGTGAGCTCCACATACCTGAAGCCATGGTATGTGAAGTGTGGCTCCAGTGAGAGCTCATAGGAATTGTTCGCCTCTGATATGATAGACAAATGTTTTTTAAAGTTTGTGTACTTTATATATCTTACAACTTATGCCATACTCTTCAACACATATGTATCGGTGGCTAAAGCCGTCCTCAAGTTCAGTGTATATATGGATCCGTCGGGATTGAGTGCCTCCGCGTGTCTTAACTGCACTCGAGTCGCATCGTATGTCTTGGGCAGAGAGATCCTAACCCAACCGACCATATTCTGGTTGAAGTCAAACACCCAAACCCCGGGTTTGCTCTCGTATTTAGTTTTTGGGGTCAAATCCCGAGTTACACGAATAGGTTGGGATCGATCAGCAATTAGGGCCACATTTTTGTCAATCTCTTTTGTAACCACTGATGACCAGTGGCTGTCATCAAACTCTGGTGATGTCCAGCCTATTACCTCTCGGTCCTCATAATACAACTCTCCCATCAATAGGTCGGAGTACATGAGTGAACCGGTGCTCACTTTCCACGTGTTGTCTGACTTAACAATTGCTGTCTTATTGTTCTCGTATTCAATATGTAATTCAAACAATAAGCTCTGATCAGGGCCATACTGTTTATATCGGCGGAAAAACCCAACATAACTGCTAAACCACCCTGTTCCTAGTAATACACCGATGGCATTGTTAGTCAACAATAACTCAGTCACATCGTAAGCCTGGTATTGAAAAGTTTTATTATAGTCACTCCAACCGGGACTCAGTTGAGAGTCACCGACAGTCTTGTTATTAATGAACATTTTATAGACTCCCTGAGCCGTGGCATAGATTTTTGCGGATTTTATCTTTGAATCAGTGGTGAAATTGTTCCTCAAATATAAGACTGGAATTAGACCCGGATTAGATTGGATAACCTGTTTATAAAAAAATATTCATTACTGGATCTCTTCTAACAAAAAAGTTTTGTTGACTTTAAAACACATACTTTTGAGTCAATTTCAGATAAGTTTTGTAACGCTTTTTGTTGAGTGCCTACTGGGGCTCCAATCCATTGACCGGTCCAGTCATTAATATCCAGTCCTTTATCCCAATAGTTGATTGATTCACAACTGTTATTTTGTACCTGGTCATTCTGGTCCCACACATTTACTTTCCAATAGGCTCTCTGTCCAGACTTTAACGGAGTTCCGCCGTATTTAATATGAGTGGTCCTATCGCTCACCACTTTCTTACTGTCCCATAGATTACCGATATTTGTGTCCAGACTTTGCCGATCTGTTGCCACAAGTATTTGATACGCCTTTTGAGACAAATCATGTTTTGTAGGATCAGTCGCCTGAAGAGTCCATTGCAGTCGCGGCTGAGGTATGTCTACGGCTAATGGATTGCGAAGGTATTCAACCTTCAGGTCAACAGCTATTATATCAGCCGTCGGTGCCGTCAATACTGCTATACATAACAGACTCTGAATGAGAAAACTTAATAAAACCATTGAATTCTTCATTTTAATGAAAGTCAAACCAAACTATAGCTAATTAAACAGTAATTTTGGACTCTTTTTATAGCAAATCTCAATACAATTGCAAATACAGTAAAAATAGATCAAATAATAATCGAGTAAATTGTTTCCAAATTATACACCTGTTGTCTTGAATTAATTTATTGATACCCTGAAAAGATTTCCCTATATTTGATGTGAATTATTAGGTGTTTGTATTTAAAATTTTAAATCACTCGTATAAAATATTTAATGATAATACAAATTTTCCGTTTAATAAATTCCTATTATTTTCCAATATTTTTTACATTTCTCTAAATTATCATATATATGAAATTATTATTGATATCACATCGACATCATAAAGACCTCTCAAATGTGCATTAATTCACACACAGATTATATATTCTTGACACATGTTGTTAACATTAGCATTGTAAATTTAATATACTTATAATTGAAAATGTAAGCTTATTTAGCATTAAGAACTTGTGTATTCCTTATAGTACTGTAGTCCAAACACAACACATGATAATTTATACTGATAATGTAAAAGTTTTAAATTTTTGAATATAAACATGAATTTGCAACTACCAAAAATACCGTATAGTTCAACAGGCTGGTAAACCGTGTTCATAAGCTAGGTTAGTATATTTTGTATAAAAATTAACAAGACAATAGACTTAATT